TTTTTTTTTTTTTTTTTTTTTTTTTTTTTTTTGAATTCCGTTGTACCTCTTTCCACAACGGTTTGTCGAAAGAAACCGTAAATGTCATAGCATAAACCATTACACTACTTCTACTGTCTAAGAAAATCATTCGAACTTTTGAGAAATAGTTTTTTTTATATGGAAATTCGGCTCTCATTATAAACAGCGGTTTAAGGATAAATTATGTGGCACTAAATGCGGTTTCCATAGCTTTTTAAAACACATTTTTTTCGCTTGGAAAAAACTCGGTAAGACACAAACTCTTCTAACTCTGCTGCTTTATCGATTATTTTTGAACCGGTTTCCGTTGGTCATATCCTGGTCAATTCTTTCTCATTCAAGCGGTAACTCGCTTAAAATTGCTATCATCAAAAACCGATTTTAAATCTAGGAAAGTAAACAATTTTAACACTTAGTAAATAACTTATACAACTGTGTAACAAAGAGATTTTATAGAAGCACAATGTTGCCGACAATTTCTTTGCAGTGGAAAAGCGACAAATCGCTTTAATTGAGTGGAGAAGATTTAGAAAGAAGAAGGAACAAAAGTTATTAGAGCAGTAAATATTTAAATAGCGAAATACAGTGAAGTTGAGAACGATAGATTTGTCAGTTTTTTAATATCAGTTAAGTACAAACGCAAACAGTCTACTAAAATCCAGCATAATCTAAATCAAGCCGGTGTGTTGCATTTTATTCCTTTCATCCTAACACTAACAGGGCATACCACCTCACCTAACGACACCGCACAGCACGTGATCTTGGTAAGGCCGAACAAGGCACTTGTTAAGATTGCTCGTACAACAAACAGCCGAGCTGCAATTATATACAACGCTGCTAAAGATTGCAGCATATCAGTGAGTATGAGGCTGTTAGTGGGCAAAAAGGCCAAGAAGCCAACGTATGCTGTATAGAAGCCCGGTAGGTTGCAACAGCACATTTTATGTACAGTTCGTCCCTCGTACTGTTTGGCTGTCCTTTAAATTTTGTATTTGAAGACGTTCTTAAAATTGCATGCTATATGTTGTGTGTGACAGCGTTGCGTTAAAGATGTAAAAAAGGGGTACCTAACTGCATCCTTCGATTGGTGCTTATGTTTTGCCTCAGTCGTTTTTATCTATTTATTTAGCTCCATAATTTTGATGCCTCACCTAGAGTTAGGTTTTTTTTTGTTAAAAATTTCTGGTGTCTCCTTCACTGCGAGTGTTGGCCGGCTCTCCTTCCTTATTTATTAGTGTTCTGCAGTTCAATGTTCCTGAACAACAGTAGCTCCCGCAAAAACTATGGCGACTAAATGAATATTTGGAAATTCTTGATCTGTTTGCATCGATTGGAGTGGACTGCACGTGATGAAATGATTTTGTCACAAAAATGCATTTGTGCTTCTCCTCCTGTCTCACTGGTTTGCGAAGCGGGTTGTTACTACAGAGTACGAAAACGATCTTGATTAAGAATTGCAAGGCTGTGGATAATGTCTAGTGGGTAAAACGGACAGTTAGATTGAAGAAAACCGAATCAAGGAGTTGAATAACAATTAAAGGAACTAGCCGTAAATTGACTGGATTAATTGTTGTTCCTCCAGTAATTGTAGTTACTTTTTTTCGGGCAGCTGTTAAAGAAAATTTTTTAGCGTCTGTTTAACCGTCGCAAGAAAGTCTTCCATTTTGCTAAATTAATGGTCGCTGAATATTCTTAAGCGATCATCTTGGCTCTGGATAAAAAACTTACAATCTAAATTGCCTTTATTCAAGCGATCATTGTTACGAAAAACTGGTAGTAGCAGCAAAATCCGTGGAAGCGGCACAACAGTTTGGTGCTTTACACTTTTACTTATTTCACTGGTTTGGTTGTTGTTGGAACCTGTTTAAGCACATTGTTTCACTACTACTTAAAGACTATCATATTCCTTAGCTTTAAACTAGTGAACTGGTTAAATCTGTCGATTTTAGTGCTACTGTTGATTAGTTGAATGCCACTTCATTTTCCTTACAAGTTCACCTAAAATATTGCTCAGAAATGCGGACGGTATTGATAAAAGAATAAAAAGCAATTGTAATACGCATTGAGTAGGCAAAAAAAATTTAAAGCAATTAGGTGACAAATATGTTTATGAAAGTCAATCATAACATATCATCTATCACCTGAACGGTTCTCTTCTAATAAGCATCCTAAAAAGAGTAGATTATGGAATAGTAGAGAACAATAAAATGCTTACTGATAAGAAAAAATTGAACCTATTTTCCACC